GTGAACTTTGTGCCATCTGGTTTTATCTTGCCTTTGAAAGAATTCTAACTTGAGCTTCGGAGCATTCATACCGGGTTCCCCCCGGAGCTTCCTCATCTTCTCGGTTTCAGGCTCCCTGTAGCTCCGTTCAGAGGCAAGGTCGTTGACAGCTAGGACCAGCCGGATTGCACACCATCAGATAGTATATATACAAAATTGGGAGGCAAGGGTGGAGATTCTTCATTGTGGGGTAGGGTGGGGGGAAGGCACTCTATTAGGATGGGGGCCACTTCCATCAAGGCATCAACCCCAATGTAAACATAATAGTGTTTTCAAAACTTTGGGAGGGGGCAATGGTCCCCTGGCTCCATCCCTATAGGGAATCTTCTTTCTTTCCTTCTTTCTCTTCAGGGAGGGTTTTCCCTATTCTAATCATCCCAATGGGACAAGCATATTATTTCAGGCTCTATTTACTGAGATGGTGGCTTGGAGGTTAGAAGGGTGAGGCCATTTAATAGAGCGTTACTATGGAAATGGTTGTGGAGGTTTGGTTGTGAAAGGGAGGCTTTATGAAGGAGTCACTGCTTGCAAATATGGGGTGTGTGTTCGGAAAGGGATAATGAATTTTCACTCAGCCTTCATGAATTATGTTTCCTTTAGTGTTGGAAATGGTTCAAGCATTAGATTTTAGGAAGATGAGTGGTTGGGGATTGGAAAGTTATGTGATATATGTCCAAGGCTGTATAGGTTGAGTAGGAGAAACATCCCAATATCCCAATGTTTCAAAAATTTTCAGGGTTCAGCGGTGTGGTGTCCAAAATTTTGAAGGTCTCTACTTGATTGGGAGATTGAAGAATGTGTTAATTTGTAAGCTAAGGTGCAGGAAGTGGAGCTACACCTGGATAGGATTGATTTAAGGTGGTGAAAGGAGAGTAGCAAAGGAGTGCTTATTGTAAAATCTTTCTGCAAGGTATTAGCAACGAATCAGGTTGAAAGGGAAGATGATAAAGGTATTTGATTGTCTCGGGTTTTGGTCTGTTTTTCACATTGGATTTGGGGGGGGGGGGGTACTGTTGTAATAGTGTTGTGTTTTTTCTTTGGTGGAAGATCCCTCATCACCTCTTCTTTGTATTTCCTCTACTTTATACTTTCTTTCTACTATTAATAAATTTTTTTTCTTCTTTGTTTATGTCCAAAAAATTGAGAAACAATATGACAATTCAATAGATATAATTAGGATGTCTATCAGATTAAGTTACATGGGCACTTATAAAATAGGGGTCTTACTTGTGTCAGGTACATGTGGAGATTAATGCTAATACAAAACTCCACCAGACTTTTCACTATTTCAAATTTGTAATATGCAACCAAACAACCTTGAACTAATAGGATAAAACTTGAGCATGAATTGTTGTTTATCATACTTAAAAATTTAGTATAGCCAATCAAATATCATTTTTATTATTTAGTGTTGTTTGTGTTGATTTATTCTTCTACATAACCCATGTTCTTTATTCATATAAACATAAAAAATAAACCAATGAAAACTAAAACTTGAAAGTTAAAGTAGACTTGACCTGGAATCCTACTTTTTTGGGCTCACCAAGTCTGACACCCTGTACCCATGTTAGATTCTAACACTGATCCTTTCATAGGTGTCAAACTAAGCTTTGCCACATCAAGATCAGCCAAGACCTAGCCAAGCTTATATAATTTAGGTTGGTTGGACAAGGAACACAAACCCAGTCTGAGCTGCTGTACCAAATCCCAGTCCAACCTAGTAAGACAGGACATGGTCTGTGCTCAGACTGGCTAGACCTGACTAAAGTACTGGCAACTGTCAAACAAGCCCATTCCAAACTCAACTTGGGCCCCAGAATTTGGCTTATCCACCAAAGGTTTTGAAAGCCCAGAACAGCCTCATACCAGCCAGGCCTATATAGGTAACTAGACTAAAGATGACTGATCATATCAATTTTATCCTTTTAGGCATGAGGCAATCAATTACTGGTTGGTGCTGAATACATTACATGCAATCCACTTGTATGACAGGCGGAAAGCACAAGTTTTTCATGCATTTGGCTCCAAAGAATTTCTTCTGAATTTCACTAAAACTAAGAAGCCAAGCTTACCTCGGGTCTTGAATTGAGGACTCCACTGGACATCCCCACATCAATGCGCCATATGCTACAATTATATTTACTGCATGGAAATACCAGGTAAGAGAAACTATTTTGGGGAATAATAATGCAAGCCTTGAATGCAAAGAGTGGATAGAATTAATAATTTAATGTACACTCTTGATGTAATTAGTGATTTGTAACCAAATCAGTATTTTCTCCAAATAAAAGATGCCAAAAGAAAAGGCATCATACCAATTTACTCCTGCAGTTTGGGGAGTATGGCCTACCACCATAGCCTTAGCACCTACTGCTTGTAATGTCTCTTCAAGTATGGCACATATCTGAGAAGCAAATGCATCCAATTCAGGGAGCTAGACAAAACAACTGAGATTGCTATGTTTGAAAAAAAAATCAGGCTCAAGTTCGCATCTGGAGAGTTGACTTTAAAAAATCAATCACATAACAAAAATGACAGCAAAATAGGTAAGATACAAATAATGGAAGCTTCCCTAATAAATAACTGCAATCATGAGTTGACTTGGCATGTGTTCACATACTGGGCAAAGAGGACTCCAGCCATGTCAATGGTTAACCCACAAAGTTAATGGGCATGTACATATATTCTCACTTCATTTTGAAAGTTGATCCATTAAGGGTGTTAATACTAAGGAAAAAAAAATAACAAAGGTCTTCAAAGATGATGCTTTCCCTATTGATAAATTCTCAGCATTGTACACCAAACCAGGGATCGAGTCCCATCACAAGTACAAGGTCTTCAAGATGGGAACTATTATTATCTACAAAAAAATAAAAACTATGCAGACCTCTAGATCAATTACTTGCCTGGCGACTCTGATAGTCCTCCAGATCTTCAGTATCTCTTGAATACAATCGGTTCCAAACAACACTATCATAACCTCTAGTGGCTATAAAAGGGATTTCAGGACCTCCACTTTGATCATTGAGACCTCTCATCCAATCAGATACCTCCCTGTTCATCCTCTCAATTCCATGTGCAACTGTGGAAGTACCAAAGTCCTATCAGGAATTGCCAACAAAGAAAGGATGAAACCTTTTACATAACATATAAATTATAAAAAGCTGAACACATGTGGCTAACAGGACCAAACTCCATTCAGAAAGTAATATTAATTTACCATGGTGAGGAAGAAGACCTCCATGACAGAATACCCAGTCATTAACTTTGAGAACAACAGCATGTTTTGCCAATTCACATGCCAATGGACCCCCTGGTCTTAGTAAAGTTGATCTTGCAATCACCCCCTTTTGCCTCTGTCCTAGTATTCAGGCAAACTTGTCAGAAACCAAGATATTTAAATACCCTTTTTTTTGGAGGGGGGAGGGGAGTTGAGAAGAAATGGCCTCCTTTACATTACAGGAATGATTACAAAAGAATGACTAGAARATCAACAGGAAACAAAAGTCCATAAAACAATGCACAAAATCTCAAGTAGAAAAATACAACTAAGACCACAATAATTAAATTTGTTTCTGTCCTAGGTATTGAAAGGATCCAAGCGAGTAAAATGAGTTACACTGTTCCAGATATAACAAAATTGACATAATGACTACTTACTATTGGGGAGTGATTTGGGCATATCTCATTTTTTAAAGAGGCACAAACCTAATCATTAACCAAGAGGTACAACTTTTAACAGACAAAAAGACCCCCATGTGATGATATTTATCATTACAAACAGGGTTTCCTTGTCTTTTACTAGGGATATGCCCAATTTATAAATATGCAATCACCACAGTCAGTTTCTATATTATTTGATTGACACTTTCATGCTACTTGCAATTATGTCTATACTTTAATAAGTGAAATGGTAAATCAAAATATTACATTCTCAAGTACTGTCATTAAATAATGAGAATACTTGAAAAGGCTAAAAGCAACAAAAGAAAAATATACATATAATGGCCAATGAGACAAAGTAAATACCTTCATTAGCCTCCATGGACCCCAATAACTTTCAGACAGCATGCGGTCTTCTTTCCACCTTTCAGACACACCAACCCAACCAACAAAAGCTTCACCCCAGTTATTTTCACAATTATTCAAGTATCCAATGAAGTCCAGACACTCGTCAAATGCACCAGGTTCAACATATCTAAAATCCCCTTCTACATTCATGGTTTCATGATTTCCATTTACCTAAATAAATAATTAGATATAACAGTGCCACCATATCAAAGCAAGAACTTTGAACTGGTAAGTAACTTCAAGAAAGGAAAAAAAATCTATAACTACTATTAGATTGATGTCTCAAGGTCATCCAGTAGAATTTGAATTGAAAACCTTGCCTGATATACCTATCTTTTTTTTTTCTGTCTTCATCAAGATAAAATCAGTATAGATTCAACTGTACAAAACAAAGCTTCTCAATATTTGGAAATTCATTGGAGTTGTAATTGTTCCATATATAGATTAGAATAAACATAATGGGAAACTTCAAACAGAACCTATCTAGGGAAAATGAAAAAAAATAATTCAACGATGATGATGATGATGATGCACTTCTTTGTTCATGGTCTTGAGACCTGGATCAAAGGTACTGGCTTTTGAGCATACATATACGTGAGAAAAGATATGCACATGATATAAATTCATGCATATGCCTGTGCCAGAAGTATTATGTCATAAATAGATTGATAAGAGAGAGCCATGTAGATTATTATAACCTGAAAGACAGCCCCTCCTTCAGTTTTTGCTTGCATATTCAATGACTGTAATAATGATAAAATAGCTATTTCATCTTCACCTCGGTCAAGAATATCTCCAAGTTGAATCAATACCTATAATGCATAGAAACATGAATTGCTTTGGAATGTTACACCTAGGATAATAAATAATGGAATGTTTTTCAAATCAATAGTTATATGTTATGTTTTACATTTTGAAGCTCTATGTTGAACTTTATAATCAGCAAAACAAGATACCAGTAGCGGAAGAAGTTCCATCAAATACAAAATATGTGAAAGAAATATAACTACTATATTAATGAATTTTATCAGGAATTATTCCAATATTACTTAAACATTAGAAGAAGATATTGTCTAGTGAAATATAAAGAAGGCCATTACCCAGTGTTGGTCCCAGCTATTTGGGGTCTTGGAAGGGGTGTATTGGATAAGGACCTAACCTCTAGCATTCTTTTCTTTGCAGAAAGTGACCACTCTCAATCTGCATTCTCATGCTTGTTTTATTATTACACCACATTGGTAAAATGAATATGATTTTCTTTTTTATCGTATTGTCTTAGTCCTCTTCCTAGTAAGGAGCATACATCCTCGAATACTTCACAATTAAATATCACTAAATAATTATAATGAGATAAATAAGCATCATTAAATGACAGCTATGAAAACAACATTTGCTTTTCATTAGTACCCTAGTAGCTGTACTAAGAGTTTTAACTTCATATATTTTACCACACAATCTTCAGGGAAGTAAAGGATTAGGGATCACCATATCCCTGCCCTTATAAATGCAATTCAAAGCATCATCCTATCCTCTAGATCCATTACCTAACATGTTGTAATTTTGAAGGCCTTTAACCTACAACCTTGAAGGAATGGAAACCATACAAATTTTGATCATGAATAAATCATTAGGAAAATCAAAAACTTCAAAACAGGTAGCCTAGCATGCAATAATCTGGTCCTTCCCCTCCAGTTGGTAATACTGTTACAACGTAAGAGAATGTCATTCAAAGAGGAACCAACTGTCATTTACAATTTAGAGATCCATACATGTAAAAACGGTGCACATGCAGAGGATGAAACCCCTATTTAGTAGGCCACGTGATGCAGTAAAATTATTCTGAAAATGAAAACCCACATGGAAATTTGCATACATCATCCTAACAGGTCAATTCTGTTATAAGAGACGGGATTCATCAAATGGTGGGAAACTCCTCCTGCATGCAAACCACCACATATGCCTGAGTGGCATCACAACCAATCCTTATATCTGCCTGTCTTTAGATTTCGTTTTTATGTAAATGTGCATACCGTCTCCCCACCAGTCCATATGTTTTGACCATCAGAACTCAAAACACCAGCCATCTCGAGAGCAGATCTTGCTTTTGCAAGGTCACCATGTAAATCGCCAACTAAACATTGACAAATCAGTTAGAGTTGAGTAAGATTTTCAACAACCTAAAAGTAAATGAATAGCTTAACAGCTCTACAGGGTGATTTCAATTAATAAAAAAAATGATATACTTTTATCATTAGAACATGTTTAACAAGTAAGCATTCTACCCACACCCACAGGCATGCATGCACACGCATGCCCACACAAATACATGATAAAATCACTGATGGAAGAAAATAAGCATAGGTTTCAGTTTCTAATAGTTATGATCTTTTTCCCCAAGTCTTAAACCTTTTTGTTTGTTGTGACCGATAATGCAAAAATCAAACATGTATACACATTTCACTAAATGGTTTAATCAAATGGATCATTAATAATCCATAAATGGAGGCTATTCTTTATCAAAATTTCATCGTCCTTACTAACCAAATAATCTCAGAGTATTGTGGGAAGAAAATATAGAAAAAAAAAAGTAAATACAATAAATAGGTACATGACTGAAAAAAAAAAGATTTAACAACAATAAAAGCGAAGGAGTTAAGATACATTGCGTTGCTTATTCAACCAGATTTCCAATGGAAAACCCCTGTCTATTTTCTATTGCAAGTTAATGGGCAACAGTTGTACTGCTTCAAAATGGGAATCTAGGATTGGACCTGGAATGGTATTACAGTGGAGCATATGTTTATTTTTCAGAGTATCATCACTTTATTAAAAAGATAATAGGATAAAAAAATCAAGTAATGAACTGCGGTAAAAGAAGCATGGACACCAGCCCAGATAGCTGGGACCAACATGTGCCATCATCATTTAAGCCTTGTCCCAAATATATGGGGTCAGCTACATGAATCCTGGTTCACCATTCTGTTGTGTTTAGCACCATGGAACCAACATTGCGTAATGCCCTTTATATAGATGTAGATATAGATATGATCGGTGAGAGTCAAGGCCTCTAAGTTCAAATCCAAATACAGGACTGGAAGGCTGGGAGGAGGCAAGCTAAAGGTGTGCGATTAGAAATAAACAGCAAAAAAGAGGAGAGAGAGTGTGCGATGAGATATAGACAAATAGAGAGAATGTGTGATGAGATATAAACAAGACAAACAGAGAAAAGAGAGAGATGAGGGAAAGAGAATGTTTCTCCAGCAAAGGTTGATTGATTGTATTGCTGTTATGTATTCGATATATATATATATATATATACATTGAGAGTTGTGTTTGTACATGATTACTAGGAGTTTGATTTATACAAGAATAGCTACCAGTTCTGGCTTATCTAGAAATACAGTCCTATCTTATCTGGGATTTCACAACAACGTAAGTCCTCTTGGACTGGTGCACTAACAAAAGGAAAGGGCTCCGACAAATGCATTGAGATTCAAGTTCTGCAGGCATTCTTATTTGTCAGTACTAATCATCCATGACCTGTTCAGAGGAGGAACCCATCTACAGTCTTGGCTTCTGCATATGGAAGGAAACCAAACTGAAGGAAACTGCAATTAGCCTATTTGTCATCTACAAACTTGAAGGTCTAATGTTCCATATTAATTGAACAGAGACAAACTTCAATGTAAAGCAAGCTTCTTGAAAGGTCTCTTGACTCTGTTCCAACCATACGTGATATAATGGTGGCACAAAATAACCAAATATGACAGCACTTAACAAGAAATGTCAGAGATAAAAACTAACCAGGATGGCAAGAAAATGAGCTGGGTAGTGTTGGAATGAAGTCAAAGAATCAAAAAGAGCAATATCAATAATTGTCGAATCCAAAACAAATTACCGAGCACACATCACCTAGCATGAAAACTCAATCTAGAAGGAGATTTAAAAATTTAAAAAAAAAATCTTCAACGTAAAAAGAACGGTCCAAAAACAATCACAAACGGTGGACAAGAGGAGGGAAACACGGGTTTTCAGTAATATCTGACCTGCGACAATTCGGCGACCAGGAGCAGACACAAAAGTGGGAGGACTTCCACTAACTACAATGGGTTTCAAGCCTCCACGAAGAAGAGTAGTTTCTGTGAGTTTCTGAGGTTGAGAAGGATGCGGCAGAGGTGATGAATTGAGAGACAGAGAAGCCATTTTTTCTCCTATTCCTACGTCTTCTCCGGTGACGATTTCATCTCCTTCCGGTCCAAGTACATGGAGAAGAGAGAGAACGTACCACAACCATGCGTTTAACATCCTTTTGTTGCTTTCCTTTGTTATGATTTTGGCGCTTTATGCAATGGCATTCTTGTAATTTAAAATAAGGTCCAATTGCTAATGGATGGAAAATATATAGAGCTGTAAAGTACGGGCCGGCACGACATGGGCTAAATTTTTATTTTCAATTTTATTATATTATTTTATTTCAATTTTATTATAAATTTTTTTCAATAATTTTTTTATTATTTTATATATAAATATTTATATACATTAAAATTCATATAAAATAAAATTTTAAGATTATTTTTCATTCATTGCCTATCTTATTAATTTATTTAACTTTTTATTTTTTAATTATTCTAAAAAAACCGTGCCACCCACGACCCAACTCACATTATACCTCTAAAAAAATTGGCAGAGTAAGCACCTGATGAGGGCGGATTTGGCCCTCTAATGACATTGTGACACATGGCACCTCAGAACAACTAGGTGACACCCGGAACCACTCAGGCAACAACTTGCCAATTTGATGGTGTCCAACCTGGCGACCTGGCCCAGGCGCCGACCTGGCACATGTGCCGACTTGGCGACCTGCGAGACGTGCTCACCAACAAATTCGGCATGCATACCCCATGATCCTTGGAGGTTGGCCCTCGTTCCGGAAGATGGTCAACGTGCATGGCAGTTACCTCTGAGGATCTCGGACGTGTCTAGAGGTCTCGGGGGCGGTACATGAGCAAGGCCTATATAAAGGCACCAACCCCAATGACAGCAGAGAGGCAAATAAGCAAATTCTACCTCTCATACTTTGCGATTTTTAGCTCACAGTCTACTACAAGAGTACTGACTTAAGCATCGGAGCGACCTCGCCAGGTTAGCCACCCCAAGTCCTTTAATATTTGGTTCCTTGCAGGTCTCTAAAGAGCAACGAAACTCATGCTCGGCACCTCACAGGCAGCTTGGCACCTAGGCAGCTCCACTTCAGCCTCTGAATAATCGGCCACTTCAGCCTCTGAGTAATCGATTCTTCAGCACCTATGTTGCACACTCTCCCTTGCAACCCCAAGGAAACATGGACACACCAGCGAGTGAGAACGAAAATGTGACATCTGCTGTGTCGTGGGCTCGTGGCCACAGCATTTTCTTGCAATCCCTAGTTAAAAAACGGAACGGATATATAGCAGTTTGTTGAATCAACGGGATCTCCTGAAAGCACAAAAACCTCATAAATGTACAGGAGATGTTCTCGATGTGTGGATGGATATTATCCTCTCAAAGTTTTTGCTTGTAAGAGATTCGTACTCCAATTTATTTAATAGAAAAATCTATGCTGCTGGAAAAACATGATATTAAAAGAGCTTTGAGGAATCAACAACCCCTTCGGTTGAATTTTGATAAATACCACTTAATTGGTTATTACTCCATAATACAAGTTGGTTGGTCATAAGTTTTTATCACACTGGTTGATTGGTCATCAGTTTCAGTATTATGGTCGAATGTTCTGATTTGCTTTTTGATCATTTTTTACTTTTTGAGGGGGTTGCTGGTCATGATTCAAGGAAATGTTGCAGTCATCTTGGAGAAGGGATCTCCGAAAAGCAAAACTCTGCACATACTCTGATATGGTTATCTATTTATCTGGATGGTAACATCTCCCAATGAATTTAGGCCCCGTTTGATTGGGGCTCCCAATGGATGGTTATCTATTCGTAGGAATAGGGGTTTGGAATCAGAATTGGAATGGTCCGTTTGATTGGGTAGAATCGGAATCTCATTCTCATTCCTGTTGGAATGGCATTCTCCCATTCCTTGCCCCTTCTCTTAAGAATGAAATCCCATTTGTGTTGATTCCATTTCCAATTCCCATTCTCATTATTGTCCAAACCAAACAGATTATTATGATCCATTTGAGTTGTAGTTAGAATCAGAATTGAAATCCTTCAGAATCAGAATGGGAATGGTCTATTTTCATTGTCTGTTTGGTTCAGATAGAAATAGGCATGGGAATTAGAATCAGCAGAAACTAGATTTCATTCCCAAGGGAAGTGTAGGGAATGGCCGTTCCCTCAAATGAAGGAATATCATTCCAACAGGAATGGGAATAGGATTTCAATTCTGTCCAACCAAACAGTTGGGGTCATTCCAATTCTGATTCTAAACCCCTATTCCTACAAATCAAAGAGGACCTACTTAGAGCTGGTAATTTTTTATCCAACCCACTTGATCCATCCACTTCCAAACCCACCCATCTCTCATGCGGATCAATATACCCATTAGGGTCAAAGGGAAGAAGAGGGTCAGCGTGGGTTTAGTCAAGGGTCGCCCATGGGGTCAGTTTATGACTGGGTTGAGACTTGAGAGGAATTGGGAGAAGAGTTTGAATCTCCCCAAAGCTCTGTTCGAAATTCGAGAATATACTTTAAGGAGCTTTGTTCTGCTAATACTCTGTCCAATGATGCCGACTCGACTCGTGCAGTGGGACGATCGTCCACGGCCACCGAGCGAAATCGCTGGTTGTTCTATTCAGCTTCAGCCTCAGCGCGGGAAAAGAAGAAAAATTGCATTAGTTTGTATATTTGGAGGCTGGAGTGTCTGTCTCACTCACTATAGCAAGCTGGGATTGAGAACGTTGTACTAAATTGCTAATCCTCAGGTTCGGTCAGACTACACTTTATTGGTCCTTTGTCAGGATTTGAATTGGATTGACGATTCACCCAAATAGAACTAAGAATTCCCAAGATCGAACGCAAGAACCGTACCGAACTGCTTCAGTTTCTCGGATTGACTTGAACATAAGCTATCTTGCTGTAGGCCTGCAACCTCGACTAGATAAAAAGGATACAGTATAGACACTCTCCATGGACCCCTTGGGTGGACCTTAACAAGAACAGATGTCAGCCTGTTGACCTTAAAAGGCTAAAATAGCAGGACTCACGACAGATTCGGGAACCACATCGTTATTACACATTCAAGACCAATGGTCAATTATCAAACCTCGAGTTTGTATAATTATACCCAATTACTGTATTAGCCCAAGTCAGGGTTGCACTTGCACACATATTTATGATACGTACCTTTGATATATCGGGAAACTCTCAATGCGATACGTATTGGCCGATACGGGCCGATATGTATCGATATCTTGAACCTTTCCCAAGGTTCTTACACATGGAAAAACACAGATAGATGCATGCCAAGGTATATTGTGGCATCCCTATCTTACACAAGTGCACAAATCTGGAACCCCGTTGCCGATAAGCTTGAAGTGGCGGGATGCCATTGGACTTATGTGAAATAAAATAATAATTTATACAGTATTTGTGGCATCTTAGATGGTCAACATGATCTTTGGCTAATGTAGGGCCAGCAATTGGGCATTCATTAAATACTAGGTAAAAATGTGTTAAAATTATCTTTATGAGCGTTTCTTACTCTTTATGTGAAAGAGTTTGTGTTGAAGAGTTTCCTGTAACCAGAAGGAAATTATGAAATGTCTTGGAATTGATTCTATTGCCCATGTGCAAGTCACAATAACAAAGGGAATAAAAAGCTAATTCAAGTTCCTAGAACCAAAGCAAATTAACCTTGTTAAGATTTAAGTGCACCAGAGATCTGTAACCAATGGATGCAGAGACAATATTTCAAATTTTCTTTAATTGAATTTAAGATCCTTTAGTTTACAATATATACAAATGCATCTAGTTTCCACTTCACAAAGCTATGTATTAACATTTACAAATTATCCTATTTATCAAAAAAAAAAACATTTACAAACTATCCTGCTATATATCAGTTGCTTGGCCAGTTACCATATCCATATTTAATAATGCTATACATGAATAGCCTAGACAGGCTACAAGTAACCAACTAACCACCACTCAGAATAACTGCAGTAGTAGGCTATCATTGGTTGTTAGAGATCAATTAAACAATCTAATAATGAGCTCACAACTGATTTAATGTTGATTCCTATTGGCATAATGAATAAGATGTTTCACAACTTGTCTTTGATCAGCAACCCTCTAATTTTCAGTCGCTCCAAGCGTCGATGCTTACTGAAAGCATCTCCAAAATTCTAGTGTGATTGTGTGAAACCTGCGTAAAGAATTTCACAATAACAAATTATATTTGCAGAGGGACGAACCGTAGGTGGAACTAGTTTTGTGCCAATAGTCATATTATACCACCTAGGAGCATGTAGGTACGAGTATCCCCATACAAAGCATGTTGCATGGACAATGCACATATCAGAGTCCAACACTCCATGGATTCTTGAGAACACTCAATATTTTCTTATTTATCTCCTAGTTTATTTGACATAAATGAATGCTAATGTAAAAGATGAATGCTATTTACATATCAAACATTACTTGGTAACAGAGACAACACTTCAGACCCCCTTTGCAGGTAAATATGATGTCAGAATTCAAAAAATTATGAAGTATTTTAATAATATATACTTTTCCCATAGACATACCTGCGCCCATGTTTTCTTATCTTGCCCAGTCAGGCTCTTGGACATGCCTTGGATTCCAACTCCCATGTCCATGTCCATGCAACACTGTTACAGGCACCAAGACAAATCAGACTTCTATACCAAAGCAATGTATCCACATTAATACCTAACAACAAGAAAACTATAATTCTAAAATACCTTTTCTTTTTTAATCAGTCTAAAATATCATTAAGTTCAAAGCCACATATTTAATACTGGTAAATAGTTCAACTGCATTCAAGAAGTCTGTAACAGAAGTACCAACAAATCACTGAATAAAAAAAAAGGGCAGCCCAGTGCATGAAGCTCCCGCCAATGCGGGGTCTGGGGAGGGACAGATGTACACAGCCTTACCCCTGCACACAGAGGCCGTTTCCTTCTTGAATATAATGTGCTCAAATAAATGTGATTCAAAAGGTAGATCATGTTCACAAACATCTCTTCTTGAATTTATCCCATCAAGAAATAAGTCAGGAAAAAGGCAAAAAAAAAAAAAAAAAGTTCAGATGCAATAAAAATTCTATTTTTGGAAGTTGAAAACATGTCACTATATCAGATTGGGGTCATTCATAACACATGGAAATTAAACCATTAAAAAGGCAAAAATCTAATGAGTTGAAGAAGAATAGATGCTTACACGTTATTTTGAGTAGAGAACTTCCCACAACATCCTAGTTTTTATGATCTCCAACAATAAATAGAACCCTCTCCTGAAGCTTTTGAATGGTCTGAATACAATGAAACCAAGAATACAAAATTACCTAACAGCAAACATCATAAATCACCATCATCTCAAAAATACAGCAATACAGACCAAAGATGAGATCTTTGCCCATTTGCAAGCAGAGCCAGCAGCTTCCTTGAGGTGAGAACAACCAGGAAGGTCATAATTAAATGTATAAGTAGAATTTTCTGTTGTTTCAGCTACCCAAAGATTATTTATTTCATCTCTTGCACGTTTGACCAGATTACAGAAGCCAACCTACATAAATATGTTAATAGTCACTTGTAAAAATGATTGTAGGGGGAGAAAGAAATTAGGAAAAAGATTTTGTTATTTCCATATTAAACCCAAAAGAATTGAGGATTGAAGCACATAAGAAAATAAATAGTTTATTGAGATAATGATCCAACACACACAAAATGAAATTGAGAGATTGACATTTCTTTATCCATGGTTCTTTCCTACTTTCTTTGCACTACAGCACAACATTTCTTTTAGTACCATATACAAATATGGTTATTTCCCTTTCTAAGTTAATGTCCATAAAACAATATTTGCTACAATAAATCTGATTAAGATCCATGACCTCCAAGAGTAATTTCTTATCCAGTCTTTGATTAACTAATTGTCATTGCTGCTAAGGTGAACAATTTTGTATAAAGAAAAATATTTTTAACTGGACTTTTTATGACTGAAACACTGCAGGGTTTTTATTGGTAGTTTGTCATTACGGTTTCTTATGACTAGAATCTCAATTGTTTTCCCTGATAAACAAACCTTTTATAATGATAAATAAACCCATACTGTTTATCTTCAGTTAGGCATATTCTACAAGCTCATTCCTTTGTGCTTTTCTTTTGACTTCAGCCTTTAGATTGAGTGCTATAAGATTCCATAATTTTTTAACTGTTCTTAACAGTGGGAGTCCTCTAGTTGGTATTCAACATGGTCCTTCTACCTGTTTAAATGGAAAATAACATGATAGTTTTGATTTACAAAACAAATTGAAAACATTCACATATGAGAAGTAGATTAGGTAATCTTCAACAGAAAAGAAAATTCATTTCTACCAATATTAGTGCCATTACAATATCATTTTCTTGATTGTATGAAGTGAACAGGGTCCACCATACGGGCACTATGTACTCACAGTGGATCCTGTAAGGTTGTAATTGATTGGTGCAAATGAATCATTATCCACAACTGGAGAGCAGAAGCTGATAGCAAGCAGACAATCTGAAGCTCCTTCCGAGTGTAACGCAAACCCTGATACAGAACCATCTGTCACAAACACCCACTGTTTCTTTTGGTTGCCAGATATATATATCTCTCCAACATGCACAACTACAGCAGCAATATCAAATTCACTGCAACAATCCACAAAATACCAATAAGTTAGCATATACACAATTCCGAGGCATAAAACATAGAGGAAGAGGCAATTGCAGGTTCTACCTGGACAGAGGAACTTCCCCCAGATTTGACAAGAAGACTGAGTTGCGAGGAACAAAAAATGGTCTACAAAAAATGAAGACAAATTGGTTTCAAATTTTGTTGCATAAGTCTCAAGGAATAAGGCAAATGGAGACTTACTCAAAATTTTCAACTGCAGAGGGAGGTAACAGTTGCCATGAAGTGGAAGGTCCTCTTGCATGCAAGTAAATTGTATCTGAATCAGAGTTTAGTGGTGTGAGCCCTCCAATGGTATATGCCTGCCCCTCCACTAGCTCAAACTGCTGTTTTAGTGAAAAAGGGAATGTAAAGAAACACAATCCATATAAATGGGTAAAAGAAAACAATAGAACTTAAGCTGGAAGAACCAATGCTTTAAAATGCAGAGGAGTGCGGCAAGGCATTAGGATCTTCTGATGCATGAGGTGTAAGCCTTGAGGCATAAGGTTCAAGCCTCATGAAATCTAGTAATGCAAGAAAAAAAAAATATCAACTAAAATGTGAAAAGTGTAGAACTATGCAAAGTGAACTATGTTTTTATATGAAAAAATGCATAGATATATTACTCGTATAAACAAGGACTAAAAAGTAGCAAGAGCATCCTTATAGGTCCTTCTAAACCACTATGAAGCACTTAATGTAAATAAAAACCAACATAAACCCAGAATCTTAGAATTGGGGAAATCCCAACAGTATAATGAAAAGGGGATACCAAAGTAGATGTGGGCTGGTTCAAGTAAAACAGTATAGGCCCTTAAATGTATAGACATGTTATATAGGAAGTAAAACAGCTGGCTGCAGAATAAAGGGCAACTTTTAACTGGACTCAGAAATCTGCCAACAATGTAGTCGATGCATTGGCAGGACAAAAAGGTGTAACCAGAAGCCAATTATACTAGGGGGTGACTTTCCAAGAGGGAAACTTGTAAGGAACAAGAAAACTGATGTTAGGGTTGGGTAGTATTGGCCTGCCCATTAAGAGGGGCTTGGCAATTTGTATATTCTTCATGTTTATAATTTAATTAATAAAATAAGATTTGTTACTGATAAAAGAATCTTAGACTTGCTCTTTAAATAGTTCTTATGATGAGAACCATACTTCAGTTTTATGTATAAAGCAGATGTTCCAAAGGTACCTCAAAGTTTTGCACATGCATTATGCTCTTAGGTGTGAACTTCTGGGTGGAGACTCAGGGTATGGCATAAGCCTCGGATGCAGTGTTTTATAAGTGCAAGGACCAATTTACGCCCAAGGCACAAGGCGCAAGGTGAGGCACACGCCTTTTTGTAGTAAGGCACAAAAATACAAAAAAAAATCAAAAAAAAATAGTAAACATAATATTAATAAAAAAATATAAACTTAAATTTTAAAATAAATGTTTTATAAAACCTATTATCTAAAATTAAAATACATAAACATAACATGTAAAGAGTATTCAAATGAAAATTTAAAAATAAAACCAAACATATAAAGTATTTTCAAGCATGTAAAACCCACAATTTCTTTTTTTTTCTTCAATTGTATTACTTCAAGTAGCTAAAGTGATATAAAACATATTGCATTCCTGATTCTATGAGCTGCCATTGTACCTCACCCCTCAAGGCAAGCCCAAACAAGTTCATGTTAGGGTCTTAAATTCTTAATTCTCACATAAACAATAATGACTTCATAACTTTAATAGCCTTTTAAGAAGATATTTTATTAAAATGAATGAATGAACAACATTAGCAAATAGGGAACATGGACTTGTTTGGGCTTGCCTTGAGGGGTGTGGTTGGGGGTCCAGGGGCGGAGCCCCTAGCCTAGCCGCTAAGTTCAAAAAAAGCAAAAAAAAAGAGTAAAATCTTAAAAAGGTGCTTGCCTGAGCTAAGGCGCAAGGCGTACAAGGCATGCGCCTTTTGAAAGGGCTGCACCTAGGACCTAGGTGAGGCGCATACCCTAAAATGCGCCTAGGCACGCCTCAGTCGTGCCTTTTAAATCACTGCTCAGATGTCTTTTTAAAACATTGGAAAGTACAAAACAAGACCTGGAAAAGAAATCATAGAACAACTCACTCAGCCTCACCTGCTTCTCAGTTGGGTTCCATATTGTTATCAAGCCTTCCCTAAGGCAGCCTTTCCTTTGGGAGCATTTACTATTTAATCCAACCACTCTGACTCTCATAAGTGGAGTGACTTCTCTAGAGCCAAGGCCTGCATCTTCTAGGGCTTTCTCAATCTTCTTCTGCATATCTGATTGCCTGATCGCCTGAGGCCACATTTCCATGTGGTTAATTGATTTACTCTATTCAGATTGACGTGTCAAAAAAGTTTCTAAACAAACCTCCTGTTTGGCCTGATAGGTAGCAAAAGAAGTCAACTGTTCTGAAGTCATATCTGCCATTATAATTTCTGGTTCAGCAGCTGTCTCAAGGATCTTGAGGATTTTTGCCCCTTCTTCATTGTCCTTATCACTTTTACTATGAAAGCAAGTGGTGTTCTTTTGAAACTCAGACATAACACCCTCTGCAATATTAGCCCGCCTGCAGACAGGAAATCAAGCACTTGAAGACATTAAAAAAAATGGCAGAGAATTCCATAAGGTACATATCAGCTCCTAAAATTATTTAAAACAAGAATTAACCAATCATTTATGTCAAATTTGGATCATGAAAACAAAACTTCCCTCAGGTGCACATACACAAACACATAGAGGGAGGGCACATATTTTGCTCTTACTTTACATTGCAATAACCATAGATCTGTATAAAAATAGCAGCATAACTGATACATATGCACATTATCAGTTTATCATCACAAGGGATCAGGTCACTGCTTTGGAAGTAGAAAATGTTCAAAGGTTACCAGCCTTGCGATTCTGTACGCTCTGGTGTCACTGATGACTAGTATATGGATCATTTCATGTAGGGGAGAGCCTTCTAGAAGTTTCATGAGAAGCAAGTAACCACGTACAAAATGCATTTACCAACTTAGCAGTTGCAGAGGTATAAATTATCAACAAATCAGAAATAAGCATATACACATCTACTCTCCCAGAGAAAGAAAAAAGGCATCCACATTATTGTCAAGCTTTTTAAAACCACTTTCATTTTGGCATTTTTGTTCCCCATCGTTTCTTTATATTCAACAATACACTTTATGTCCTCTCTCTACCGCCTCAGCTCTTGGTGTTCATTTTGTGTCTTTTTTTTTATTTGATAGGTTACATTTTGGGTTTTTTTTCATGGCACTACAGATACTAGAGACCATTAAGTCACTAAAATATTAAGATTTTCAGCATCCACAGCCACTTAGCCAGCCAAGGAACACTAGCTTGTGACATGACTCCATTGCTTTCCACTACAAAAGGATACAATATCTCTCGTCAACCCAAGGAGTACACTAGTACAGCATACCATCAGTCACACAAACCACACACAAATGATTTCATTTTATAAACTTCGACAGTTTTTTTTTTCACAACTTATTGTTTAGCAGTCTGCTCTTAATTGGAATAGCCCTTGACCTAGACAACTCTTCTTCATGTTACTTGGAAATTGAGTATCAAATTAGCCTAAATTTTGATTTTTATTATATTAACATTAAACCCAAGGCATAGCATCACTAAACCCAAAAAGATGTAAAACACCTTTCAGCTAATGTAAGTAAAGTTCCATCTACATATTATATGACACCAATAAATTTCTATCTTGGTACAGTAAGATAAGGAAAAATGTTACTAAATGAAATCAAAGGAAACTCACGGAAAATGGACCAGAAAGTAAATGGAAATTTTATGGAACCAGATTAGACAATCTACCTCTGATTGTACAGTTGCAGCACTTTGGTCTCCATTCTTTCTGACCTTACAACAGAACCTCCATTTTTCAACCTAAATGAAGAAAATGGCACTGTCGATGTTATACCATAGGCATCAATATGAATTCCAAGTACAAAATGATCACTTCCAAATCACCTCTCCTTATAAAGAACAGGGTAAATCCGCACGACTCCAACTAAAGTCCTAGGGACCAGACCACCACCACTCTTGATGCACCTAAAAGCCAATGGAGTCCCATGGCCCTTACCTAACAAAACATATGGAAGTTGTGAATTTAATCAGGCTGCAAGAGTAAAATGTAAATATGGCAAAAGAAATTATCGAAAGCAGTAACAAGGTATTCTTGAATTCAATTGCATACAGAAACCCAGCCGATCTGCCCAATGTGTTCTATATGTCCCATTTATGTGCAACTGCAAACAGACCATCTTGGAACACTGGAAACAAGAACAAAAGCCTGAGAAAAAAAAAAAAAAAAACTCTATGCATATAGAGGAAATATTCAAACTTCAAGCTTCAACAGAAGACCTAAAGCCAGCAAGAACCTCGAGAGGTGAAACTGGTCCAATCCAGCCACATAAACTTGCTCCCCAGATCTTCAAAAGACATGTTGTAAATTGTAAGTGAGATGAAAATTGTCTCAAACTCAAAGTGCATTAGGCCTAACTTTAAAATCATAAATAATGAAACTAGTAGAAGTACCCGAAGTTTCTGTCCAACAAATAGTTTTCCAGACACAAGCTGTTTTGAAAGCGGTACATCCAAGAGGGCATCCAACGAATACCTATGTGTAAAACAAAACAAAACCATTAAGAACCTATTGAATGTACAGCAACCTTGTCAAAATCCTAAGATTTATAATATGATTCATTAATCCCAAGGGTTTAGGCCTATGTTTGAAACAAGATCAAATCATTAAGAACCTAGTGAATCCATAGCAATGTTGTCAAAATCTTATGATTCACGATTTTAATCATTTTTTTTTGGAAAAGGTAAAGTAATATTTATTGAGAAGGAAATACACACAAGAGGCTGAGATCAGTCCCAGAACAGGCTGACTGATATAATCAACAATTACACAATCCATCAAGAAAAAGAAAGTAATACATCTGACACATTACAGTTTCTAAAATCTGCAGCCACAGACAACCAAGAGATCAGCTTGTCCACTAACTTCTGAGTTAAGTCCTCCAGACTTAGAAACTTATTACTGAAAACCCTTCTATTCCGCCCGGTCCAGATGCACCAAATTACAGCAATTGGAACCAACTTCCAGATAGTCTTCTTTTTCTTGCTCAAACCCATAATCTGCCAGCAACACAACAGCTCTTTTACCAATCTCGGCATCACCCAACAAGCCTTCATAGAGTTGAGGAAATGGTTCCACAACTGGGCAGAAACGAGCAGTGGATGCACAAATGATCATTAGATTCAGCACTGCTCCCACATAAACTGCAAGACAAGTCCAAAACCTGAATTCCCCTTCTCACAAGGTTCTCCTTAGAAAGGCATTTATTAAGAGCCATAGTCCAAACTAAGAAGCTGGCTTTAGTCGGGCTGTTGGGATTCCACACTTGCCGAACTGGGAAATCAGGAGCACCCCTCCTACCAAACATAGCAGCCAAGGATTTAACAGAAAACATCCCATCAGAATTCCACTTCCAATACCACTTATCCTCCAAACTATAATCCAACTCTTGGTTTTGAAGACAGGTCAAGAGATTCACTGCCTCTTCCACCTCCCAATCAAAGAGATTTCTTCGAAATGAGGGAATCCAAAGAACTGAACCACCAGAAATACTATAGCACTCTACAACTGAGGCCTCTTAATCTGAAGCACACTGGAAGAGGAATGGGAAGGACTCAGCAAGAGGAACATCTGAGCACCAAGGGTCCTTCCAGAATTTGGTCCTGTTACCATTACCAACCCTAACTGAGACCCCCCTGGCCAGAGCTGAAAAGTTCTTCATTACCCTTTCCACAGAGAGTTACCCCAGTTAGGAGGAGGGTCCCCAGTTCTCCAATTGCCCCAACTCACGCCATAATTGTTGGCAATGAGAGATCTCCACCAAGCATCAGATTCTACAACAAATCTCCAAATCCATTTACAGAGGAGAACAGAGTTAAAATATTTCAGCTTCCTTATACCTAACCCCCCTTCAATTTTTGGGAGGCAGACTTGCTCCCAACTCACCAAGTGCACTTTTTTCTCCTCCTCCCAGCCTCTCCAAAGAAAACTCCTTTGAAGCTTTTCAATCTGATTTGCAACCTTCTTAGGAATGTAGAATAGAGATAGAAAGTAGGTAGGCAAATTGGAGAGAGTACTCTTAATCAGAGTCACCCTCCCCCCAAATGATAGGTATTTTGCCTTCCAAGAAGCCAGCTTCCTTTCCAATCTCTCAATAACTGGATCCCAAATTGTAGAGGAACCACCACTCACCCCTAGCGGGAGTCCCAAATATTTGACTGGAAGGGACTCAATCTAACAAGCCAAAATACCAACACACTCTACTAAATTGGAAACATGGCCAACTAGGATAATTTGGCTCTTATTCCAATTTACTTTTAGACCTGTAATCACTTCAAACCAAGACAGAATCCCAAGGATTAACTCCACCTGAGAGGGGGAGGCATCCACAAAACACAATGTATCATCTGCAAATTGAAGAATATTCACCTTCTCTCCCCCTAGCACAATTGCAAAACCTTCCCACTCTCCTGAAACTGCAGCCTTCTTACAGAAAAGAGTGAGGATCTCCATTACACATATAAATAGAAGAGGAGATAGAGGGTTTCCCTGCCTAAGACCCCTGGAACTATCAAAGAAACCTACAGACTGTCCATTAACCAAGACTGAGAACTTTGGGGAAGTGATACAGACTTTAATCCAATTCCTCCATTTCTACACAAAATTCATCTGATGAAGCACAAGGTCCACACATCTCCAGTTAACATGATCATAGGCCTTCTCAATATCAAGTTTACAGATCAATCCTGGGGAACCTTCTTTTTTCCTGGAGTGAATGAGCTCATTGGCAATAAGAACAGAATCCAGCATCTGCCTACCCGGAATAAAAGCACTTTGGTTATTTGAGATAACACTACCAAGGATTGCTTTCAATCTCTCAACAAGCACTTTAGCTAGGATTTTATAGAAGCTATGCAGAAGGCTAATCGGCCTGAAATCCTTAATATTCACTGCACCTTCAATCTTTGGAATGAGGCTAATAATTACAGAAGCTCTAGCTCTAGCATTTGCCATTTTGTGAAAAAAACGAGTATTCCTATCCCCCTCTTTTAGCCAAGCCAATTTGGCTCTTTGCCTCCATTTAATTTCTTTCGCCACTGCCAATTTGTCAAACTTCAACTTAGCCTGATATCTTTTTAACCTGAGCTCCTCAGCAATAGGGCCTACTTCTTCAGCTATGTCAATCTCCTTTATGGTACTCAGGAGAGTCTTTTTCTCGATATCTGAACTCAATTTTTTCTCCAATTTCCAAATCTTTAATCTTGATTTAATGGCCCCCAATTTCTTTGCTAGGATGAATGAACTGGTACCCCCCACCTGCAGGTCCTCCCAAGAAGACTTCAACAAAGGAACAAGAGTGGCATCCTCAAACCAAGCATTCTCTAATTTAAAAGGAACTTTTGCTCTCACTCTAACACCACAAACCAGCTGAATTGGAATATGGTCTGGCACTAGCCTTGGAAGGGCAACCTGCTTAAACTCCGGGAAGATATCTTCCCAATTAGAAGTAACCAGAGACCTGTCCAACCTCACTAGGTAAGAAGATCTTGGTTGTTGGTCCAAGTAAACCTGTTACCATGAAGAGGTAAGTCTTGAAGTTCAAATCTGTTGATAAATCAATAAATTGCACCATATCCCTCGATCTTCTCCCAGTCGAGCTTCTCTCATCCGCAGACAGAGTGACATTAAAATCCCCACCAATGACCCAAGGAAAAGAAAGACTTCCCCTAGCCACGGCCAATTCCTCCCAAAACTCCTCCTCCGGCTTCGGTCATTAGGACCATACACGTTAGTAATTTGACAAACATTACCATTTGTAAATTTCAAGACAAGGGATATTGAAAATTTTCCAATCTGATAAGAAATCAAGCTGCAAACTGTCGGGTCCCACATGCTCAGTAACCCCCCTGCACTACCGACTGCTGGCTTTGATCTCCACCTAACCTCCCCCTCCCCCCAGATACTTCTAACCACTGCAGCCTCCACACTCTCCAATTTAGTTTCTTGAATCAACACCACTTTTGAACCTGAATTTTTCAGAGAATCACAAACTACAAGCCTCCTTCTCCCTGACCCCAACCCCCTAACATTCCAAGATAGTACCTTGAACTCCATGACAAACCAATAAAGCAACAGGAAATTTGGCACTTAAGCCTTTCTCCCCCCCCCCCCCCATACTCCCCTCACTACTGCCTGCTTTATCATTAAGGCTCCAAGTCAAACGCAGCAATTATCTACTTCTTTTAGATTTGTTACCCCCCTTCTGTATTGCAACTTTCCCCCTAGCCAGACACATTCTTTGCTCTACCCCCTCCAAGTACTTGATTGTTTCCTTTTCCAAACCTCTAACGAGATCCCCAGAAACTTTCCCAAACTCATCAACTCAAAAGAAACCCATGAAGAATCAGAAGCACTTACAAGTTGCTCCCCTACCAGATTCGGCTGAACCAATAGCAGACTGCTGCTCTTCTGAGGCTGCCCATCCGAAACAACACCCCTAGCAGTTTCACGGAACTTGCTACCTTCCACCTGTGACCCAGCACCCTCTTGTTCCCCTCCACCACCTATAACTTGAGAATCTACAGCCACCATCACGATCGGATCTACCTCCATCAGCTCCTCTTCCTCTCTCAGCACCGCTAGCTGGTTGGACTTTTAACTGTATTGCACCTTCCAAAGCAATTGATTGGGAAGGCAAAGACTTCAAAACCCCAGAGCCGAGGTCCAAAGCTCCCCCCCCCCTACGTGAAGCAAGCACCCGACGTTCCTGAGAATCCCGAGCAGCCCCTGAACCCACAACCTGTTGGCAACACCCAGCCAAAGGATTGAGATCTGAAATCATATGCACCCATCAACCAGAGGGGGAACTGGACTCATTATAACCATTGGGCCTAGGCCCAACTTCCGGGTTAAAAGGATGTAGAGCCAGCTGGGTTGGGCAAAGCAATCCAGGCCCAGTAACTTCATCCAAAACGCCATGGGCCCCCTGAGACTCGAGGAGGGAGACTGGTGAACCACATAATGACTCACTGGCACGCGGCCCTCCCTAGGTGCCAATTGGAGCTCGGCAAGGCACTCTCTAATTAATTCTTTAATGGATCCAACTCCCAAAGCCTGCCCGCTGCCCCCCATATTTGAAATTTGAATATCCTTAACAACAGTTTCCTGGTTGTGCCCATCTGGACCCTTCGTTGTCACCAAGATTGGACGGTTCAAAGGAACCCCCAACTCTGCTTCTTCTTCTCTATCACCGGCCACCAGAGAAATTACTTGCATCCTAGTCTTCTAGCTTCGCACTACTTCAGATAAACAGGGGAGAACACTCTCGCCAGAGTCTTCCAGGACCAAAGTTTTGGTACAGTTTGAACACCCCTTTTGTTCTTTTTGGACATCACAAGACAGCTCTTTTCCACCTCTCCATCTTCGAACAAACGGCAACAACTCTTGCCAAATCTGAGTAGTGAACACCACTTCTCCCGCCACCACTTCAACCTTGTTCAGAATTTGGTTCCCCCTACGGATTTTCATTCTCACCCACTCGCAGGTCACAATCTCCAGCGGAGAATCATCCATCTCTATGAAACCCTCGCATGCATCCCCAATAGCCCTTATTACACTTGGGCACCAGAGGAGGGGAAGTCCAAAAACCTTAATCCAGCTTGACTCTATGTCCTCCCCTACTGCGAAAGGGTCAAGGTAATGGCAACCCGCACTCGCCCCCCACCATTCCAGCAAAAGGGGGTTTCTTCCCATCTGCCAAGGACCTTGCCTTAATACCCATTCCGCACCAGCTCTCAACGGACAGATGAAGAGGAAGAGTCCATCCACCATTTTCTTCACTTTCATACCCCCACCTCCCTCCAAGGTCTGTTTGCCCACATCTCTACCTCCCTAATCTCCTCCCCTCAACGGAACCTTCCCACCAAACAGTTCCGCAAGAAATCTCTTCTCGCATTCACCGCCTGAGGATCCGTAGCTACCACCCTTTTACCATCAACCCACTTCACCTCCGATGCCCCATAAGCAGGTCAAACCCCCTGCAGCCACCACTTCACTGTAAGATAGATTGAGCCTTGCCCTCCCTTCATTCCCCAATCTACGGTACCAGTTGAAGGCTTCCCATCTTCGCTTACCTCCATCTGATCTACTGTAAGAGACTTTACGCTCCATCGAAACTTCAGACAAGAAACCCTTCACCGGAGAAGAAAGACTTCATCAACCCTTCACCGGTGATCTTTGTATTCAGTAAAGGAATAATATACAGAGTGAACTCTCAAGTTCACTTAGCTTAGTTGCATGAGTTACTTGTATACCTTAGTTAATGATATTGTTGGAAAGGATACTCCTACCAAGAATCCAAACACAACTCCAACAAATGTTGTGATAATAAGCCTCATGCTCTCATTTGGTTTTCTTATAATTCCACTGCAGCCAACAATAGGTCAACATTAAGAAAATAAAATCGCCTCCATTGCCAACAAAATTATGACTTCAAAATATCCCAAACATGAGACTTCAATTTAATCCTTTTTTGCAAAAATCTTGAGACTTGTTTGAATCCTATGATTTGAATCATAAATATTACAATTTATGTGGTTCAAAGAAATTCAATTAAGAATTAGTTCTCTACTTTATCTTTTTTTTTTGTTTATATTTAGTTTTGTCAAGGGAGACTTGTTTTCAGGCCCTTATTAGAAAATGATTTATTTACATAATTTAAGACTAGACATTTAATTTGTTTTCCATCATATGTAGGTTAAAGAACCATTGTATGTGGATTATTTGACTTTTAAGTAAAACTCGATTATGTATGTATAAAATTTTTTGACGAGTTTGTGAAAAATAGAAATCATCTTATGATTACAATTTTCAGAACATTGATCTACAGTGTCATGCATTCATCATGTATTTGCTTACCACCCATCAGTTAGTTCAATTTTTGCAACACTGTTATTGTTGACCGAATTTGAGCCACTAAGCTTCTTAATCTCTTCACATGAAGCCATAACACATTCATTCCCAAGCTTTAGATTTGGGTAGCAACGAATAGCTGAAATGCATAGTACAACCATTGAAGCAGGTGGTGCATCCCCTTCGAGAATTCTTTTAAGTGCAGATCTATGACCATGATTTACTTCTCTTTCATACCTGTCACCCAGGGCATAATAAATTCTTAAGATGGATACTTATGGCATCAACAAACAAACTATTAGTAGAAGTTAATTACCTATACTTTAATTCCTCAAGGACATTAGACACTGTCAAATATTTCCCAGATGCTTTAGCAGGATAGCCTCTTTCATAACATGCAAGTTTCCAAATTATCCACTTGTAGTGATTCGCCACCCACCTAAATAGAAATTTAAAGAAGAGCAACCATTTCAACAGAGTATAGTCATAACCAAGCTGTGAATAGTTTATCTGCATTCCATCAATACCAGGTATGGAGTATTAGTGCTGCCTCCCTTAGGCAGACATTCCCTCTAACATATATTAGGTAGTAAAAATAAAATGAGCCAAAATATGCATATGTCCACAATAATAAGGCTCAACCTTTAAAGCCAATTAACTTTTTGAAGAACCAAATTACCAAAAAAGGTAAAAATATTTACTCTTTGGAAGCATGTATCATGGAAGCTCCAGATTGAGACAGCATGTGGAAAAAAGCTTCAGCTCCAGTTGCACCCAAGCCAGATTTGTCATGAAAAATATATTTTTCTGCGCCATCTGCATTCATGCACTTTACCTCATCCGGCACTTGCTCCAACTATATTCATGCAAGTATACAAACCAAGTCAGTTGCTAAAGAAACATTAATAAGAAACAAATGCAAGCATCATAAGTAGTTATACCAGGGGTTGGAAGCAAGGAGGCCCTCCAAAAAATTCTTTCACTGACATTCTCTTAATATGAAATGGATATCGAGCAGAAACCCTTGTTTTGCAACTGGAGCCTTGAGATTTTGGAAATACAGATGAACCTAATAAAGAAAAGACCAGAACATGAAGGATGAACTTTTTTCACCAAGCAAACTTGGGGGCACAAGTAGGGAGGGTGAAGGCACAATTCAATGCTAGGTCAGTGGGAAATACATCCACTGAATTACCAGCTGATCCAGCTACATATTCATGAAAAGATGAACTTAGTAACAAAATGGCATTAACTGAACTACGATTTCAGGGACTTACCATTTGGAAATACAGAAAATGTGCCGCTAAGTGGGGGAGCAAACCTGTAGGGTATTCACAAGTCAGAAATACACTGTAAAGATAACTGTTACAAGTGAGAAATGAAAGGAAACAAACCGGGAATTGCGAGGCCTTTTGAATGGAGAGATAGAGCTTCTCCTTCCAAGTCTCCTCTTTTCACTTGGAATATGCTTCTGATTTGAATAAGTTGGGCCCATATTTGAAATATCAACCAGTGGCCCACATGGTAGCATTCCTAAAGAAGCATTTCTTGACTCAATATCCTTTGATAAAGAAATTTTAGTTGTCGTATAACATGCAGAACATTCCCAGCTTGAAGGCTTTTGGTTACAAGATATATTAGTGTTTGGCCAACATGTATCCTCACATGCACTGCCACTAGATTCAACTTGCTTTGGCAAGTTCCCACCCAAATGACCACCCTCTAATACAGCAAACGATTGCATATGATTGGAAAACCGCGCAAGTGATTGTAAGTTTTTTGATGTATGTTTGTTCATTGCCACATTTTGCTGCAAACAAGAAGCAAAAAGGTTGTTTTCATTGTTTGATGAAACCTCATTGAATCTTTTCTCTTTAAAAAATAAAAATTGCTGATTATTATCAATATGATTTGATAAATTGCCCAACTCTGGGTCACCAAGGAGGCTCTTTGCTCGTTGCAATGCATCACTAGAAACTGAAATAGACCGTCCACCTGCAGTCTGAAACTTTATTGGAGGTGGTTTACAAGCAGCTTCACAGATATCAGGTTGCAGAAGATTTTGAACTATATCTTTCTTTGGTTCACTTCCTGCCAAAATTATGTCATTCCTACAACCAATCAGATGCTCTGGAAGCAACCTAGCAGCTTGTTTACTGTCACTATACACATCAGATCTCTTATCAAAATGCAATAAACTCTCAGAAGAACATGTTTCATTGGTAGTAGATTGCCTGCTCGTGTGTTCAAGGCCTTGAGAAGTGCAACTATTATAACTCTCCTCCAACCCCAGCAATGTCTTAGCTCTGGACAAACCTGCTGAAGATATATTCACCATTTTCCCAGACCCTGTCTGGAAAAGAGAATTAGAGAAACTGTGTTTGCCATCTGGAGCACATACTTCCCCTGCACAACACAGTGAAATTAAGATGCTTTAATGGAGAACACAACAAAAAATATCCAAGTCTTACAACCAATCAGATGATTGGAACTGATCTGGCATCTAGAATTGGAATAGTATGCACACCAGATCTCTTTTCTAAATGCGATAAATTCCTTGATGCAAATGATTGACCAGCAGTGGGTTGCTTCCTTGTCTGTTCAGGAGCTTGAGAAGTGCAACAATTATAACTCTCCTCTAAACCAAACAATGTCTTAGCCTTGACGAGACCAAAAGAAGATATATTCACCATTTTCCCAGAGCCTGTCTGGAAAAGAGAATTAGAGAAACCGCATCCATCATCTGCAGCAAGTACTTCCCCTGCTAACAAAAAATGCCAATAAGCGGTTCCACAGAGAAGGTAACAGGTACCTAACTGTATCTATAACTTTGAAGATTTACATGTTGCAAATGACAGTTTCCCAAAAACCAAAGTAATAATGTAATATATGAATTTACGAAAATCATTTGTAGATAACATATCAAATATGCAGAAAAAGAAAGAGCCGGTTCACCTCTATCTGTTTCATCTCCCTCGCCGAGGACAGATAACGCTTTTATAATCGAAGACTGTTTAACAGCAACTGATTTCCCAAATCCAGTTCGGAACATTGGGGATTTCTGGTCGGCGCCACCACCGCTCTCAATAAACTTTGAAGATCCTGCAAAACATGGGAATTCACGCTTGAATAGCTTAACCGGAGAGAGAAGAGGGAGAGAAACGGAGATGAGGTTCTGGATGAAGGTTGACCTTGAACCAAGAGATCTTCCATTGATGGGAGACGAGAACTAGGGTTATCCCGGTGAATTAACGGTATGCGACGTTCTTCTGCTACGGTGGCCGGAGATTGGCCTGACATCTCCCACCGGAAACTATTTTCGGCATCTGAAAACATCTGCCACGTCACCATTCCTGGGGACGTCTGCGGTTTTTCTTCCCTAAATCTTTAATAGAGGACGTCACTGAGTGCGAAGTGCGAACAAAACCCAACTCCTCTTACCTGAGCAGCTATTAGCCAGTAAAACATTTCTTAGGAAAGGCGGGAAACTTTCAAGAACTCCAGTAATGCAAAAAAAAAAAAAAAAAAGGCGTCCATAGAATCCCGTGGCTCTCACGGGCTTCATTATGTGAGGAGAAGATCCCAATTTAAGTCGAAACCGGTTCTGCTCTTCACACAGAGCGGCTCACACCGACCTTAACATCTCATCGTGCATTGGGAACATCTCTCGTATTTATATGTTATTATTTACGGGAGACGTTCTCAATCCATGGTGGGATGTACTTGTGAGGTCGTTGTGAGGCGCCCAAATTCAGTGGCAAAATGGTAAAAATGCCTCGGCTTCTTTCCCTCAGGAGGGTCTTTATTCTACTGCACTTGGAGTCTTGGACCACTCTTCCCCTTCTCGAACAAGTCTATCCCCTGTTTCGATGGATGATTTTTGGTTCATACATTTTTTTCTTTAAAAAGACTTTTGCAGTGAAGCGATCAAGCTCAATTTTTTTCTGTTAGTATCTCTTTACTAATCTCACCATGCAGGTTCTTGTTTTGATTGTGCGTCTAGGTCCGTTGCTTTACGCCTTATTTTTCCTATTTAATGATCTGATTTTGTTGTTGTTCATTTCTTCTTGTTTGATAAATCTGTTTAGATCTGTTGTTTGTCTCGCATTGAGTTGGGTTCAACACTTGGTTCTGGCTTTATCTTGAATATTTATTGTAATCCTACGTGCTCTCTCGAAATTGCCAGGATGAGTTTTAATGGATCTCTATCTTCTCCTGGATTGTTTGTTAGGGAAATTCTAATAGCGACGTCCCTTATATTCAAACTTCATTGTATTCCTCTTGTAAGACAAACCATCTCAAACTTTATTGATCTCTCTGTAGTCATTGCTGTTATCGAAATTAACCACAGAGAACGAATACTGCTAATTGTTGGGAGAATTTTACCATGGTATCATTCTGGAATATAAGTTTCTTAAATGAGAATGCAGGTCAAGAAAAATAAAATTCTGCGGCAGAAGGTATTAAGTGAGGCTCTAATTTGCTGACAAAGTACACCCTTAGCAATCTTGACTGTTTGGTACAAAAGTCGACTATTTTCTAATTGTGTGCATAGTGAACATTTTTTACACAAAGTAAAAGATTTGAAGACAACAATGGCTTAGAATATGATCTTTTTTTATTTGTTAAGGGTAAGATGTGCTTGTGATTATAACTTGAATTGCATCTCTATCTTCTTCTTTTTTCTCCATTTTGCTGGCAGTTCTGTATCATTTACAATTTTACACTTTTATTGGGTCTCTTGACCATTAATAAGAACTACCATCCTGCTTATTTTAAATCTTTGGATGGTTCCTTCTTTCAGCTTATGGGCTCATGGCTTTTGGATTCGAGTCTTCATTTCCACGTCCATTACTGTCAATTCAGAATATGTACAAGGATCTTGAAGTGTTGGAGGGATTGTCTTGTGGATGGAGAGATTGTCTTGTGGATGGAAAGATGTGTTTATGATAGGATTGGTGGCTTCCAGAGAAATGTAACCATGGACTTGTAACTGATTTTTTGCTTCCCCGTTCCTTTTATGGATACATCTTGGTTAGGGTGTTTGATAACTAGTAATTTTCTAGAAAAGTTGGACTCGCCTATAGTTATTAGTGTTTTAAATAAATTATCCGTTTAGTATGGCGTTTCTGTCTGTTGTTCTCTACCTTGCATTATTAGTGTTGGATTCATGTAGTCGACCCGTATAGTTGGGATAAGGCATGGATGATGATGATGATCTGATGGAATAAATGATAACATTTGTGGATTGTTAAAATGTGACGACTTCTCCTCCTTTTGTTTTCTCTGTCTAGAAGAAACAAAATTAGCTTGTAGTTTTTTTTTGTGTTTGAGATGTATTCTGATATGGATTGTCTAGATATACTTAGGTTGCTTAAGCTTTTTGTTCTTCATTATTTTTATTTGTTCAGTTTTGCTACAAATTAGCAATCCTTAATAATTCTTTTTCCTTCCAAGATTATCGATAATTAGAAATGTATCATCCCAATAATGGGACTTTGGTTAAGGGAATGGATGTCATGAACAAGTGAACAACTTTGTAAACCATACCTGGAGAAGCTAGCTCAGTGGATGTCTTTAGAAAGCTAGCTCCACCATTATGGTTTCTGTGTAAAGAGAGGTTCAAGGTTTGAAGCCTTAACCAACTCCCGAGCTGGACCCTGAGGGAGCTGTGACGCCTGATGGAGCTATTCCTTTCTAGTAGGGAAGGGAACTCTGAAGGAGGGACAGTTGCCAATGGCCGCCACCCAGATCTGCCAAAGTCTTCCGGCGAACAGCAGTCCGTTAGCCAAAGAACCGCAGTCATCCCTTATACAGTACCAACCCGTCTTGAAGTGACCAATTGGGATCGGCGGTGCCGGACTAGATCTTCTGTAGCAAGAGCGACCATTCCGGGGATTGTGGTGTTGCCTTCTTAATGTCGTCAAACAGAGAGATCCGAGGTTGGGAAATGCTACACAGAACCATCGCGTCTTCATCTCGCCTAGACAAGRCATCAGYTGCGYRATTTGAGGATCCCGCCTTATATTCCACCCGGAAGTCAAACCCGAGCAGTTTGCTAACCCAATGCTGCTGAGGGGAAGTGGTGAGAYGCTGCTCTAAYAGGTATTTGAGGCTGTAATGATCAGTTTTGACGACGAACGACCGCCCCCACAAATATGGCCTCCAGTGCTGGACGGCTCGGGCTAGACCAATTAGTTCGCGCTCATAGGCTGGAAGCTTCAGGTGCCAGTCGGCCAGTCTGCAGCTCAAGAAAACAATCGGGTGCCCTTGCTGCTGTAGTACAGCCTTGATACCAACTCCGGAAGCATCGCACTTGACTGTAAATTCGAGGGCGAAATTAGGTAATTGCAAGACAGGGGTGGAAGACAGGGAATTTCTCAGTGTCAAGAAAGCTTCATCTGCTGCGTCGTCCCACCGGAAGGAATTTTTCTTCAACAGGTTGGTTAACGGGGCTGCCAACACTCCATAGTTCTGTACAAATTTGCGGTAGTAACCCGTTAAGCCGAGGAACCCGCGTAAGGCCTCGGCTGATTGAGGTTTGGGCCATTCTTTTATAGCCTGAATCTTGGAACTATCAACTGTCACACCCTGCCCATGGATGACGTGGCCGAGATAAAGAACCTATTTCTCCCCGAAGGAGCACTTGGAATAATTTGTGTTGGTGTAGGAGCTCGAAAACGGTCCTCAGATGGTGGACATGCTCTACCCATGAWTTGCTGTAAACGAGGATATCATCAAAGAAAACTAAAACAAATTTGCGCAAATGGGGCTGGAATACCTCGTTCATTAGAGACTGAAATGTAGATGGGGCGTTGGAGAGTCCGAATGGCATGACTAAAAATTCAAAGTGGCCATGGTGGGTGTGAAAAACAGTCTTCTTCACGTCACCAGGAGCCATGCGAACTTGGAAGTATCCGGATCTGAGGTCCAACTTAGAAAAGTACTGGGCACCATGCAACTCGTCCAGCAGTTCGTCCACAACGGGAATAGGGAACTTATCTTTGATCGTCCGGTCATTGAGTTCTCTATAGTCAACACAGAACCTCCACGTTCCATCCTGCTTCGCCACMAACAGAACYGGCRAAGAGAAGGGGGAGTGACTTTTGCGTATGATTCCTTGGTTCAACATCTCTGTACATTGTTTCTCTATCTCGTCCTTCTATAAGTGAGGGTAGCGATAAGGTCAGACAACGACTGGTGCTGAACCCGCCACCAAAGGAATACGATGGTCGCAAGCTCGGGAAGGGGGGAGGCCCTTGGGTTCCTGGAACAGATCTGAAAACTCGGCGAGAAGTTTTTCCATGGCTGTCGGTTCTGTCTGAAGTGCATGGACCTGTGGTGTCCTTTCTTTAACCCTACAACCGTGCCATGAAACTTGCTTTCCATTTAGGTGGAAGGTCATGGTGAGTGCGCTGAAGTCCCACAAAATCGGCCCTAGGGTAATTAACCACTTGACCCCTAGAACAATATCGAACCCATCCAATGAAAGTACAAATAAATCAGCAAKAAACAGTTCAGAATTGACCTGTACCGGCACGTCCTTACAAATTCTTGGACTATGAACTCTCTCACCATTTGCGACGGCTACCTGTAGTCGCGGTCGAAGCTCCATCGGCAGCTTTAACTGAAGGGCGGCATGTTCACTTATGAAGTTGTGTGTACTCCCTGAATCGATGAGAATGCGCATCGGTTGACCTGCTATTTGTGCCTGTAACTACATGGTCTGAGAAGTTTTAATGCCAGTGATCGCATGGAGAGAGATCTCTGGCTYGAATATGACTGGTTCTTCTTCCTCCTCCTCTTGTTCATCGATGAGGAGGCAAAAAAGCCTCTTGCATCTATGTCCTGCCGAGTAGAGGTCATCACAGTTGAAACATTGGCCTCTTGCTCGGCGTTCTGCCATTTCTGCCCTGGTCAGACGCTTAATGGGTGGAGCGGCCATGTTGCTACCTGTACTTGTCATTGGTCTAGAGGCGGTGGTGGTGGGAGATTTCAGTTCTCAGCTGGTAGCAGAAGAGGGGGTCGCTGCTGCTGATCTTGGGGGTACCCATGAGTTTGGTGGCCGACCCACATTAAAAATTCCACGGCTGAGCTGCAGTTTGCACTCGAACGCGCGGGCTAAGTTCATGGTTGTGACCAAATTTGAGGGATTTTGCATCTCGACATCCACCCGCAGGGGTTCTGATAGCCCTGCCGTGAACATATCCACTTGCTGGTCGGGTCGCACGGAGGATGCCCTCGCGATGAGGGTTTGGAACTGTCGCTGATATTCAGCCACTGTGCCGGTTTGTTTAAGGTTAATCAGCTCACCCAGTGGGTTGCTGGTCAGTGGGGGTCCGAACCTAAGAAGGCAATAGGACTTAAACTGGGGCCAACTGAGCCCGGGTTCTTCTTGCTCTAACCGATAAAACCAAAGTTGTGCTTCCTCTGTTAAGTGAAAGGTGGCTAGACTTACCTTATCCCGGTCATTTGTCTGTTGGTTCCGGAAAAATTGCTCGCAGCGATACAGCCAGCCTAAGGGGTCTCCATTGCCGTTGTACGACGAAAATTCCAGCCTGCTGTACAGCTAGTCCATCTTCCACCAGACTACCCATTGATCCCCACCATCATCACCAGCATCCATAACTCCACCCACGAGGGCATTCAAAAAACACTACACCGCGTCTGGACTGATTTCCATTGGTGAGGTATGAAGACTTCTATTCGAGATTTTGTCCATAATTGCTCCACATGCCAACAACACAAATGGGAAAACCTACACCCGACAGGCCTCCTTCAGCCCCTTTCCATCCCGACACAGATCTGGGCCGACATCTCCATGGACTTCATTGAGGGACTACCCAAGGTAGGTGGCAAATCAGTTCTCTTCGTGGTAGTCGACCGCTTCTCTAAATATGCCCATTTCATTCCTCTATCACACCCGTACAGTGCCACTTTGGTTGCTCTCGCCTTCTTTACACATGTCTTTCGCTTACATGGGTTACCAGAATCCATAGTCAGCGATAGAGACCCGGTTTTCACTAGTGCCTTCTGGAAAGAGTTATTCCGGCTACAAGGCACCACCCTGGCCTACTCATCAGCTTACCAGCCACAAAACCGACGGTCAGACGGAAGTGGTTAACCGCACAATCGAGATGTATCTCCGTTGTTTCGTAGGCGATCAACCACGACGGTGGGTGGATTGGCTCCCTTGGGCCGAATACTACTACAACACAGCCTACCATTCTTCTCTCGGCATGACTCCCTTTCGCGTCATTTATGGCAGGGATCCTCCCCGCTTGCTGTCCTACGAGCCGGGTTCTACTCGTTTGGAAGCAATTGATCACTCCTTACAAGAACGCGACGCCCGCCTTCGCTTACAGCAGGCCCAGCTCCACATGATGCTCCACTATGACAAGCACCACCGGGAACTGTCATTCGATCCAGGACAATTTGTTTGGTTGAAACTCCAGCCCTACCGGCAACGCTCCTTGCACCACAAGGCTGCCCCGAAACTGGCCCCTAAGTTCTATGGGCCCTACAAGGTTCTACGACGAGTTGGCAATGTAGCCTACCAGCTGGAATTGCCTGAGACCAACCGGATTCATGATGTCTTCCACATCTCCTTGCTGAAGCCATTTACGGGTGTTCCCCCGGACCAAGTTCCCTCCCTGCCACCCTTGAAGGATGGCAAGCTGGTCCCCCAACCTAAAGCTGTTACCCGCTCTCGTTTCAATCATGGAATCCTTAAAGTCTTGGTGGAATGGTGTAATTTACCATCCACAGAAGCCACATGGATCCCATTRGCAGAGTTCCAAGCCACATATCCAAAGTTCGAGCTTGAGGACAAGCTCGTAGTCCAAGAGGGGAGTAATGTTATGGACGCCCTCCTCGGGAAGACGTACCATCGCCGCCGGCAGCAACAGGCACCTGACCCACCGCCAGCAGCAACAATGATTCAGTGATGCTCATCCTACCCAGTTCGGCAACAACAGCCTTATCTAGATTACATTAGCTCATTTTGCTTGTTCTTATCTCTTATCTTATCTTGTTAGTAGYTTATCARATTAGGATTAGCTTATCTTATCCTTAGCAAGATAGAACTGGAAGTCTCCCTATTCAGCAAGGAGACTCTCTTTGATTAGGACTCTTGTAATCTCCTATTTAAGGAGACCCCATTATTGAATGAGATATCGGATATTCAGTTGAAAAAGTGAGTTAGGAGAGTTGGTGATCTCTTGAACAAATCACCGGAGGCACCAAGATAGATTCATCAAGAG